CGTATCGTCCGCATATCTAATATTAATAATGCTATTTCCGTTGACCAAAATACCTTCCACAATATCCAATAAAGCTTCTTGAAATATCACTTCACTGTAGACGTTGAATAAGAGTGGTGAAAGTATGCTCCCTTGTCGAACTCCTCTAAGTATACTTACTTCCTCTGTCAGTTCTCCTTCGACTCTTATTCTTACTTTCTGATTTTGATACAGATTCGATATAATTTGTACATCTCTCTATGTTTTTTGTCTTAAGAATACTTAAAAGCTTTTCATGTTGAACTCTTAACTTAACTTAAACTTAACTTAAAAGCTTTTTTAAAATATATGAAGCAAGCATATATATGTCCTGATTTATATCCAGACATCGTTGTGTCAGAACAATTACTCCGAATAATGCTTCTCTAGTTCCTAGACCCTTTCTAAAACCCATCTGTGAATCACTTATTTCTTGTTCTAATTTCATGTGGATTCTGTTACGTATGATTTTAAAGAAGGTTTTCAATGTTTAGCTCATTAATGCAATTGTCCGATAGTCATTGCAATCTTAAGTATTTTTGATTTTTGGAATTACAAAATTTGAGAGAAGCCATTCTTTGAATGTGTGGCCCATCTTGTATATAGAGTTAAAGAGGTCTACCAAGACATCAATATTATCTTCATCAATTATCTTCAATAGTTCAATTGGTATATTATCGGGTCCTGGAGCTTTTCTACCTTTTGTGTGTTTTATGGCATAAATAACTTCCTCTTTCATCATTTCCGGTCCCGTGGTTTCTCCGTCAACTTCCAATTGTTCTACTTTTTGGTCATAAAATAGGTGTTCTATGTAGTCTTTCTATCTACGTAATTTGTCTTTCGTTTCAGTTATAGTGGTACCATCTGCATTTGTTAATATCCCGAGTGGTTTGTTACGATTTTCTGAAATCATTTCTTTAACCTTCTTATGTATGTTGAAAGTGTAGCTTGTTTTATTTTTTGTTTTATTTGTTTATTAATTTCTTGATACTTAATTGTATCTTTGTTTTTATGTATTCTTCTTTTGTCCATATTTTCGAAGATTTCTTGTGTCATCCATTCTTGTTTGGCAGCTTTTGTAAATGATAATGTTTCCCATCCTACAGTCTCTATTGTGTTCTTTATATTCTTCCATGTTGTTTCAATATCTGTAGTGTTCTTATTTTGTTGTTTTATTTCTTGGATACTCTGATTTATTTTATTTCGAATTGGTATGTATTTGGTATGTATTCAGTGTATATTTGTGGTCTACATCGTTTCATTAATGATTTTCTCAATCTTAGAAGAGGTACCATAATATATATTTACATAGGAGGAAATATATTTATTAGTGGTGAAAATTTAAACATTTTATTCCACTTTGTAACTAAAACTCAGTATTCTAGACAGAGAATTATGCAATCTTATATTGTGCAAGAAAATATCTAGACTTTCGAATAAGAGCATATAATATATGTTTAGAGATAGTCAAGCAACCATGAGCGCTCATAAAAGCCCTAAGGTATAATCTAAGCTATTTCCGAAAGGCAGAAAACTCGACAGACTGGCGGAACATAACAGTGTCATACTTGTATAAATCTCAGGTCATAGAAAATTGCACGGTAATAAAAGCTCTCATGCGTTAGCTAGAAGAGAATCAGAATAAAATACTTCGCTTAGAGCTCCAGCAGGAGTGCCAAGGAATATGTGCCAAAGAATACGGCAAAATGTATTGTTACGACAGTTGCGTAAGATTTATTCCATGTAGAAAAAGTCACTTAGCAAAAAAGAAGTATTAAAAATCTAGAATATTCGATATATCATTGAAATATCCCGAAATATCTCGAAGGTTTGGAACGTCAGAAAATGTATACTTATAAACAGGAAGTTAGTGTTTAAAATAGTAATTGAATTATTAAATAGTTCTCTCATTCAGTTAAAGTTGTTATCAAATATTGTAATATTGTTTGCTGTTTTGAATAAAAGTGATTTTAAATCGATTATCGATACTTCTTAAGCAACTGCATCTAAATTGGTTGGAGAGGATATTGAATGTATATAAGATGTGATTGTATTTATTGGTTACATAATTAAAACGGAATAGCGTATCGATGACATACTTATTTATATTAGTTCGTGTTCACATTCAGTAATGAATGAATAAAATCTACTTCTAATATTATTGTCTGTTTATGATTATATAAAATTTCTTATTGGGTCAAATAGAACCTTTTCATAATTTCGTTTATAAAAGAAACCTTATCTAGAACTAACCATAGCGCTTTGCAGTGAATAATAAGTTTTGAAAAGTCAGAAGGACCAGTTGCTCAGTGGATAGAAAGTATAAATTTGACGCAGTATATCGAAAAGGGCATCTTTATAAAAGAAACCTTATTTAGAACTAACCATAGCGCTTTGCAGTGAATAATAAGTTTTGAAAAGTCAGAAGGACCAGTTGCTCAGTGGATAGAGAGTATAAATTAGACGCAGTATATCGAAAAGGGCATCTTTATAACAATGACAATATTCTTTCTAGACAAGTCTATTTGGAACGATAATGCCAATACTGTAAAAAAACTTACCGAAAAATAGAATGTAACCAAAGAAGTAAATCTCAAAATCACCACAGTAAAATAGGAAGAAGATAATGGTCTTACCTAGAAAACCTTAAAAAGAGTCTAATTCATACAAAAATGACATAAAAATGTTGTAATACCTATATAGCAGGAAATAACTAAATAGAATGGAACTATAGAGTGGAACTTATAACGATGTGCTGATCGTTCAACAGTTCGAACCGTGGCAGTGTCAATATTCACGCATCCACCTCCACGACGAGATGACGAAGTGGGATCAACAGCGGCTATTTAAGGTGAGCGACTGGCGGAATTAGATAGTCTTGTGGCTATCGCTCTAGGCTCCCTGGCTCGCTGGTGTAGTAACTCTGCGAGCCAATCCGGACAGAGAGACCTCCGCATTGAGGATCGTACTCTGTCCTTAATCAAGCAGAACCCATCGGTATCGTGAATTAAACGTTACTGTCAACGTGAATCTACACAACCGATTATTTTGTTTGCGAGTGCGGTCGGAGCTTCCACTGAATTGAGGTGGAAGCGAGTATAAGTCTGCGTGCGATCGACTTCGCGTAGTTAATTTCTTTGTTAGTAATAATAATTTTTGATCTTTTACTGATGTTTGCCGGGGAATTCACTCTCGCGGAATACAGACGGGGACATAGGAGATATTTTATTTTTATTTGTTGCATATACGTTAAAATTAATAAATTTATTTTTATTTCAACTTGTGTTTTACTAAGTCTGTCGCCTCAAAAGAGCTACCCTCACAAACTGGCGCCCGAGCAAAATTGAGGAAGTGCTAAAAGAGACCGAAAATTAATAACATGCCGACAGATAAAGACACAGACTCAGTAATAGGTACGTCGTGGATAAACCGCCTTTGCAAAGAGGAATTGCAGAGCGAAGCCGAAAAATGCGGCTTAGATCCCAAGAGAACAATCGATGAATTGAGAGCACGACTCAATTTTAAAAATGGAATTTTTAAAAATCGCGAGGAGCCGACAGGAACAATCCCAAAAGAAAAAACTTCCAAGGGAGCAGATTTCGACACACTGACCCAGGAAATTTCGGTCATCCAAAGACAATTACCATTAGATTAGACAATCTAATTAGAGGAATTAACCATAACGAAACAAATGAGGCAATCAGAATTGATAAATCAAGTACGAAAGTGGAACACACACTTCGACAAGAAACATTCGGATGCAATAGAATTCTTAGGGAGGATAACCATAAAGACTGGGACAAATTCATACCAGAATTCTGCTACACCATAAATTCTTCAAGACACGATTTAACAGGATTTTCACGAGCGTTTCTTAATTTCGGAAGATAATTAGACACAACAGAGGCCACAAACGGCCAAGATATATAGGGGTATGCAGAGAACTTAAACAAGTTAGAAGCGTGAAGAGAATTGGCGAAAGTGCACATGGAACACGCTTTTGAGGACTAAAAGAAACATTACGATCTAAGACGAAGAGACTGGCGGCCACATCCAGGAGATGAGTCATGAAAAAGGAACACCATCTATCATCGGCTAGTGCAGCTTTCACTAGCAAACTAGCGCCAAAGTACTCAGGACCATACATAGTAACATCAGTGATATCACCAGTAATAGTAAAACTGAAATTGGCCGATAGTAGTAGCCGCAAGCAGATGACGGCACATGTAAAAGATTTAAAACCATGGGAAGGGGGAAATGTTACTATAGAAATTCAATGCCCACCACAACCAAACGATATTTAAGTGGCAATGCTAGTAAGCAGAAGTCAGTTCATCCATATCAAACATGGAAGACTTACTGGAGATACCGGAAGAGATGACCCCTCTGGGAACGCCAGAGAGACCCGTACTGCCCGTGACACCAGGGAAAGGCGCGAAGAGGATCCTGAAGAGGTTCCATGAACTATTCGGTACACCACCAACCCCACCAAGGAAGAAGAGCGTACCTGCACAACCGATTACTTTGTTTGCGAGTGCATTCGGAGCTTCCACTCAGCTACCCGTCACAAACTATAAAGGCGTACTGGGCTTAATGATAGTCTCTCTATCTTTTCAATGATCTATTATATCGGAAGTGGGACAGTTCTGATTACGTAAAGTTCAACAATTGCTACTGCCAAAATCATGATTTAAAAGTGTGTTGCAAGAATTTTATAGCCACCTTTCTGAAGAACATTTTGTAGAGTGTTCAAAAGAACACTTGGCAGAATTCGAGAAAGATTTGATTGGATCTATTGTCGCCGAAATATAGAAGATTGGTGTAAGAAATGTGATATATAATGGCAGAAAAGGTCCTACAACAAAATATCCGTAAAATGGTCCAATATTTTTCCGAAGGGCCTCTTGAATGACTTGCAGTGGATTTTCTCGGTTTACTTAGGCTAATATCGTATTTTAATAAATAAATTTAACTGTACCTACCTTCATGAGATTTACAGTATTGCTTCCCAGAGGGACTGGAAGGTGCTTTATGATATCCAACTGATGGACTCTTCACCATATTGTCGTTGGTTTGACAGCATAATTTTAAATAACTTTTTTTGGCACCAGAAGCTAAAAAAGTTCCAAATGCAGACAAAAGAACTAGCATTAAAGGAACTCCTATCATAGAATAAAGTATAGTGGCTATTTTTCCAAGTGCAGTTTTTGGAGAAAGCTTTCCGTAACCTAGAGATACAAAAATGAATATTAGTTATTAAATAATTGGTAAACTAGTGACAGGTGATCATCGGTTTTTAACCGATCATTTTCATCATAAAACCGATATTCACCTGTCACCAGTTTAGTTTATTTCAATTTTGCTAGATTGTTTTTTTATTTAAGTTTTATTTTATTACATTTAATCAATTTTAAGTCATATTTAATAATAATAATCATCATCAGGGCTTTTCATTCCAGGTAGAATCTTTGCCGCTCTTACTTAGAGCTCTCTGATTCGCTTATTTCGGTGAATCACTCACAATTTTCTTTTACTCATTTCGATATGTGCACACCCCTCCATTTTCTCACTTCGAGAATTTGGATTTATCTCATGACCAGGTTTGCCTATCTCTTTCTGGGTCTTCCCCTTGGTTTTTCAGTTGCTGGTTTCCATCTGGTGATCTTAATCAGTAGATAATTTTTCCTTCTCTGTATGTGTCCTAGCCATCTCAGCCTTTGTGCTTTAATAAATCTAACTATATCTTCTCCCTTCATTATGTATCTTAGTTCATGGTTCATTCTTGTTCTCATTTCTCCGTTGCCCATTCTTATGGGGCCCATAATCCGGATGAGGATTTTCCTTTCGAAAATTTTTAATTTTTCTTCATCTTTTTCCGTTAGGCACATTGTCTCAGCTGCGTACGTAACTACTGGTCTGATTGCAACTCTGTATATTTTCAGGTTTGTATTTCTGGATAAGTTCTTGTTCTTCATAAGCCTATGATATCTCCAGTATGTTTTGTTGTCTGCTAGTATTCGCTCAGTTACTTCTTCACTTCTCTTGTTTTGGCCATTCACTATTACTTCCAAACATTTAAATTGTTTGACTCTTTAATAATCAAATAAATATAATATTGGCAAAATTGTTGTATATTCTGTACCAGACAGTACCCTAAAACTGGTTATTATATTTTCAGGTTGACCTGAATATGCATAGCAAATTAATATGCGAGTCCTGTCATTGGTGGTGGAATAAATTAATTGTAAGTCTCATTCTTATTTCTATTAACCTATTTCAAATGAGCTCACAGAGGCAACATATTCAAAATTAAAGTATTTCTCTTCGTACATAGCCAAACCATAAAAAATATTTTGTGGGGATAGGCGTAGAAGAGATCAAATAATTTTACGTTACAGTAAGATTGTAATCCTAGCACCAACCAGATACAGGAACTGTAGTGGTACAAATAAAATTTCTGCTAAAACTAATAAATTTCTAAGAAATCTGGGAAATCGTAAACGACGAGATAAAAAACAAATAATTTCTGACAAAATAACAATTGAGTAAAGCAAGGACAAATACAGAGACCGAACTTGAAATAATTAAAGAAAACATAGATCACACTGAGACTGAATAAACGAAAAAAAAAAAAAAAGAAATTATAACTATATATAATACAAAAATCATAATTCATAGATGACTCAACAGATACTAGAATGAAACAGCTTTAAACCATAAACCATAAATCCTCAGCATATTCAAAAATAGTAGATTAAGACAATAAGACACTTCTTGATATTCAAGAGAAAAAAACCAGTATGTACACCTATATTTCTTTTTTTTTTAATGACAGCGATACAGAATTTCGTAACCAAAATTAGAAAGACACATTAAAAACATAAACGACATTAGAAAAATTAAATCTCTTAAGGTATTAAAATAAAGCTATCCAGCTTTCTTAAAAGTTAGATACAAAGAAAATTTATAGATTCTATCTAAACTATTTAACACCAACTATAGTAGTGAATATATTCTTTTAGATTAATTAAAATCCACAGTTTTCCCAACTCCTAAGAAAAGTGCCATTATAGATAGGTTTCGGCAAGGATTTGGAACTAAAAAGCGTTGATTGTGATTTTTTGTGAGAAGTTTTTCTATAGAATTGTAGACATTATCGAAAAAAGTTTATTATGTTTTATAGATTATGCCAAAAGCTGTATTAAACATAGTATTATTTTGAATATTCTGAAAAGAAAAGGTTTAGATTTCCAAGGCCAAAAAAAATTTAAGTATCTCTACGAATACCAAATAGCGACAGTATAGCTTCAAAACTGCCAAACAAAAGCTAAAGAATTAAACTTGGAATCGGACAAGGATGTGTAGGTACTGATCTCCATGATTTTTAAGTACTCTGACAGTATTCCAAAATATATCTGACGATGCAGAAGATAAAAGGATATAAAAGTGAAAGAAATATGGTTAAAAGAAATAGGAGCTGTGATATTGGTACTATTATGCCCTCCTAATGGACCAATATCACAGCTCCTCATTGACAACTTAACTAATGCTTATAATTTAAACAACAAAATTATGTTTTAGTTACTTTTGATCATCTTTTTTTATCCATTTTACCTTTAGATTTAATCTTAAGTAGTCTTGAAAAACATTGGAATGAGATTTCGCAATATTTTTATATTTAATGGTGTCGTTTATAAACAAATTTTTGCTAGTCCTATGGGATCTAGTCTTTCACCCATTCTAAGTAGCTATGTCATGGATCATGTTATCAGTGGTTGTATCAATAATTGCACTTTTTTCATTCCTTTTATTAAAAGATATGCACATGATTTAGTTTTGGCACTTCCTAAACACAAAATTCATGAAACAGTCAACATTTTCAACAATTATAATCAACATATACAATTTACAGTTGAGAAAGAGGTGAATAATTCTCTATCATTCCTTGACATGAGAATTGTAAGAAATACAGACAATATGTTGAAAACCAGATGGTTCAGAAAACCCATATGTAGTAATAGATTTATAAGCTATTACTCTCATTATCCAAATAAGATGAAAATGAACCTTATAACAGGATTAAAAGAACGTGTTTTAAAGCTTTCTCATCCAGATTATCTACAAGAAGAACTTCAATTGTTAAAAAATATGCTACATAGGATGCTTATTTGTAATATTGTTAATATAAGTAACTTAACACCATTTTTTGCTAAATCTCATAATATTGTAACCAACAATCAGAACATCTATTATCATTCACTACCTTTTATACCATCATTAACACCTAAATTAATACAAACACTAAAGGATATTGACAATATAAAAATAGGAACAAAGAACATCAAAACTATTTCATATTTATATTCCAAAACTAAGTATCCTATAGACAAATTTGATAAAACAAATGTAGTGTACAGCATTAGTTGTATTCAGTATAAAACTGAGTATGTTGGTGAGACCGGAAGAAATCTTTTAAATCGCATTATTTCTCACAAAAGTGATTGCAACATTAAAAAACCATCTTGTGCTTTGGCAGAGCATGTAATCGACAAGACCATATTATGGATTTTAATAACATTAAAATTTTATGTAGTGAAAGTAATAAATTCAAAAGGACTTTTTTAGAAATGGTTTGTATTAACAAAAGTGATAATAATTTAAACAAAAGATCAGAAATTCAAAATCTAGGCAAAATTTATACTTATATTATTTCTTTGTAGTTTATATGTGAAACCAGTAAAATATCACATTTTGATTTAATTTTCCATTTATCTCTCTGTTTCCAGAGAAACATTTATTATATAAGAACATTTTTATATGATGAGTAGTGGGTGGTAGGATTCCCAAGTGCAGTACCAGGCAGGTACTTGAGCCAAATTTATCATGCTCTAATATTGCAGAATTAGGCTTACTATGTTATTTACTTTAAAAATTGTCACCTAAGGTGTTTTCTTTACATAATTTCTCTTTAAATAATTTTCAAATATAAATTAAAATAAATTAAATAACAAACTCGTCCTTTAAATTATGCTAGATTTATGCAACCTACATTTTATGACTGCATGATTTCATGTCAACGTTGCTTTTGTACAATTGTATTAATTGTTTCCATACAAATAGTTTAATACAATTTTATTATCATAAATTGATTCATAGAATCTTATTAAATTCAGTTCTAGATGTGATGAACCTTGGACTGTTGGAAGTTTGATCAACCTTCCCCTGTGGCTGGCTAACCAGTCACAACGTATTAACATATGATTTTTTGGATTGACTTCTCTTGTTTGTTCTTTATTTCATCTCAACCGATTACTGGAGAGAAAAAAGGAGTTCTTAACCACCTTTACCTTTCAGTTTTTTGCTTTTTATAGACAGTTTGTCGACCAACTTTTGTCATACTTTTTAAATAAACCGCTCTATTGTACTGGAGTTGGTAGTAATGCGCCTTGTTGATCTGTCACTAGTTGACCTCTTGGCATCTGTCTTTTCACGTTGTTGACGTTTAACACCTGTGGCCTTCATTTAACCGGCAGCACTCGACAAGCTTAGTGGTAACTTCATTATTACTTTTAAATTACTAAAATTTTTAATTAAACATTAGAATAATGCCACCTAAAGTTAAAATGAAATCTTAATTATTTAATTACTGTTGGAAGTGCATTCTTGGACCTTTTAGTTCTTTTCTACACTAATTTTGTTTTTTATACATGATAAAGTTTTTACATATATTTTTTTAACATACATGTACTACTACCACATGTTTTTTTGCTGAGCTAATTTTATGAAAATTGTCAACTGTATTTAGTTCAATTTATTGTTTATACAACATAATTATACAATGTCCATTGTCGTAAGCTTCTTTACAATAATTGTGAATATCTTTGACTGCTACATATCTTTTTGAGGTAACATACCTAATAGCTTTTCATTGGATGTTAGGTTTTTCATATTGTTCTTTTTAGATAAACTGATGATGCTATCAAATTGGATAGCAAAACGTTTTCAATAAATAGATGAAGTAGTTATCATCTTTGTCTTTTTTTCAAACTCAAAAATAATAAACATTTTAAATAAATAATAAGACTATATTTAAACTATATTTTCAGCTACCAAAATTGACTCCAATGTAAATACACCAACATTGAAGCCATCACTGAGAAAAATGTTAAACGCAATTGTCAGAGCACTGTCGTATCTTTAGTAAGGAATATCCTGGAAAAGACGAAAT